TATATATATATAGTACATATATATATATATACATATATATATATATATTTATATATACATATATGTATATATGTATATATATGTATATATAATTATACAATAATATATTTATTATAGGAAGTATATATATATATATATTTACGATACGCGTGTGTATATACAACTATGTATATATTGATATGATGTGTATGTGCACATATATACATGGAGATATTTGAAATACATATGGTAAGTATATGTATATATATATACATTGTAAATAAATCAATATATATATATATATTGTAAATATATTTATATATATATATTGTAAATATATTTATATATATATGTCATATATAACAATTGTACACATTATATTTAGGAGTTCCGAGTTTATCTTTATCCAAATATAGGACATACCCAGCCATAATTCAAACTTCAACTAGCATCGTTTGTCATGTGGTATAAGTACGAAACTGTTGCAACTAAATCTGTCCTGGCGCGAGATAATGGTATTAGCGTGTGGCAATTCAAATACGACGACTTGAAAGAACTACTATTTAATTTAATCTACTATTTAATCTAATCTATATTTTCATCGGTTTACTCAGTCTCCCCAAACATAAACGCATGTATTAGGTTGAGTGAGTTCTCGGGCTGGTCCATGGGCACCATATGACCGGCATTGTGCACCTGTACAAAGGATAAGGGCCCCACTCTGCGAACAAAGCCGGCAAGCTCGTCGTTTGCTATCCACGGCTTATCCTCTGCAGCGAGGAAGTCCTCTTGTCCAACCCAGGGCACTGAGCGGGCAAAGGCCTTGACGCCTAGGTAGTTGACTGAGAAGTCCATATCACCGGCGTACAGCTGTGTTTGGAAGAATTATAATAGCGGGTTAGTCAACCGAGTCAGTCTTTGCTAATACAACAATGGATGGGAAAACGGTATATGTATATATAGGAAGCACTCGAATACACACGTATACATACCATCACGGGGATATCGGCATCTAGCAGCATAGTCACATTGGGTGTGAAACTCAGCATCCACTCGTGCATGAAGTGTTGGTGGACCTCCATGTTGCATGGCTCCCACGTCTTGTCCACACCCAGAATAGCCTGGTTGTCTTTGTTGTTCAGGAACGTGGTGAGCGGACTCATATCGTACGCCATGGGTCCCACACTCATTTTACGGACGTCGTACTGATTAAGACCGGCTTTCTGGATGGGCGCCATGAAGAGACCGTTGCAGAAGTTGCTAGACTTCTCACAGATATCCGTATCGTGTGTTTGCTGGCACTGAATGATCTGGCGAGTGCACTCCGGGGCCATCTTCTCCATGTGTGCAAGTTCATCATCGCTGGTCAATGGCTTGTTTAGCGGGTTGTGCTTGTAGAAGTTGAGATACTCGGGGACTTGTACCACACCGTTGGTTAGTCCGTTACCCACCGCAATACCAGCCAGGTTGATATGCTTGCCTAGACGCAAGATATTGTGCCTGTGAATAGCCGCGCCCACAGCCGGGACGTAGTGTCCACCATAACTCTCGCCCATGATGAAGAGCCTGTTATCCCTTAAGTTTTCATTCGAGCCCAAGAAATCCTCCACAAATGTGTGCATCTGACGACCAATCTCTGTTTCAGAGCGAGCCGTCTCGGGTCCACTGCTGAAGCCAACTCCAGCTGGTTGGTCCATGAAGACGACAGTTGCGTTCCTGTTCCAAGCCCAATCGTTGTTGACGGTGCTCTTACCATCCTTTGTGATTGTGCAAGGCCCTTGCTCCATGAACAGAGCTACGCCACTCGAACACCCAGGGCCACCCGACAGCCAGAAAATGATGGGATCTGTGCATGTGAAGGAAGTAAAATTACACATAAGCAGGCGAAGGAAATAGCTGTATGAATGAACAGCTGTCAATACGCATTGAAAGAACGGGCAACGACTTCAGCAAATCTGATAGAAAGCTCGCAATACATTATTGATCAATCACCATGCATAGCGGTATACATGCATATTTGTTTACATGCATATTTACAAATTATATCACATAAACAAACGTACACATAAACTCGTGCAGTGATTACCGTCGTAGCAAATACAATAGGCACAATTTAGCTATATGACTTTGAGCAGGGCACTCATATTCTCACTTGGTCTTCTACCGCTCAGCTACGAAGCAGTCATACACAGATATACGAACCAAGTAGACCCACCAGGTTGTGCATTCTCACAAGTATGTGTCACACGCACCAACAAGTACATACAACAAATCATGCTCTTTGAAGTCGAGAAATACGCAAGTGCATTGTTCCCCGTATATCCGCAATTAACAATAACAATACAATGCACCAATCAACAATATCCCTGAACTACGTTGTGAATAGTGTAGAGGCAAACATACGCCACGAAACAGATACTACTAGTATGCAGATTACTATAGACACTTCTTCACCTCTGCATAGATACTAGAAGACCTACCATTGTATGAGGCAATGGTATTCTTTTTGTCTCAATAATGAACTTACAGAAACACATACATACCGTTGGCAGGATCATTCAAACTTGGGAAGACCCAGTAGAAGTACTCCTTGTTGTCTCCAATGGGGTAAAATCCAGCCAGGGATTCGATATCGCCACAAAATCCAGCTGGTATGACCTTACTTTTCTTCTTGTCTGTTGGGTGGATGATCACGATGTGCTCCCTAGGATCTGTCACGATGATCGAATCGGCTGGTTTTAGCTGCACATACGTCTTGGGTGTCTCGGTTGCCTCTGGCTGCGCTTGGACTACCTCAGGAATACCTTCGAACATCTCGACAAGGGACTGGAACCTCAGGGTAGATGCGTGTGCATGACCGACGACGGCTACCGCGGCGGCTAAGATTGTCGTAATTTTAAGCATGATAATAACGAGCTTAACTTCCGAGGTGTTTCACTGTAGTGCAAACTGTGTGTGCAGAATAGACTGAAAAAATCGAGTTATATAGAAATTCCGTCACGTGGAGTCGTGGAATCTTTTTGTACAATACACCGAAATTTATGAAAATCATGTGCGGAACAGAAGATTCACGATTGTCAATTTCACAACAATTCTGAATTTTCATGATGCCGGGCGAAAGACTGAAAGTTTTAGAAACCAGTTTCCAAACTTCCACCACCCAGCAAGGACAGTTCGTCCACAGCAACGTCTCGTAGCCAATCAATAAGAGTACAACCATACGTTAAGCCAGCCGCATGGTGTCAAGAAAATAGAATTACCCGTATCACGGCCGACGGCCATCGATACAAAGTATGACTCATGAATAAAACCCCAACCTTGATTCACATATTGTGCCAGGATTCGCTGAATTTTAAAATCGTGGGGATTTTTAGGGAGCTGAGGCCTAAGAGTACTACTACAACTCCGATTCCATCATTTGATATTTTATATTTGATATTTCTTTTTATGTGACTAGTAAATAAGTAGACAGTGCATCATACTGTGTAGTATGTACTGTGTAGGCATGACAAATTCCAGTATAAAGTATATACTCTGTTTTCAGTATCAACGACGCTAAGCCAATCGCTACACGGCGATAGCCCACTATCGGGTCATTAAATCAATAGGGATATGAATAAACTGCCAGAGGAGACTAGGGAGAGTATACTTGCGACAATAACGGCTTTTTTTAGAACCAGGCTTTTTATTTCTTTCACGAGAAATGGCGGTTCGGATGTTCTACGGTCCCTCTCTCAAGCAACTACTCTCTCTCTCAACTACTACTCTAGAGAGAGAGTAGAGAGAGAGAGAGAGACTCCCTTTTTAGTTTTTTTGATGCATTTTGCCATAGACTTCTGAAAATTATATACATTTCAGAAGGCTATGATTTTGCACGTTTATATTTTGTAATCCGACCTATAAAATCCCCAAACGAACAACATCAATAAAGCCGTTGTTCGTTGTCTTTCATGAGTCATCACTCATATCAACCCTTCTTGAAGTCCATAATAATATTAGCAAATATTTTGTTAAATATATATATATATATATGTATGTATGTAAATAATGAAAGTAAATAGAAATATTTAGTCTATTTATTTACATCACGATTTATAGGCTCTTATTTCTTTTTCAAAATACAAAAAGCTATATATAAAAAAGAAATAAACATTTTTTTAATAATTCCTCTGGTGTTCGCATTTCTGTTTTTCATTCTTTCGATAAAATACAACGCAGCAAGTAAATAAGGAGAGGGGGAGGAGAGAGAGACTCTCTCAGCGGAACGTGAGAGAAAAACAATACAGAAGACACTTTTTGAACACTACCGTTTTATAATTTTTGTATATTTTTCGGATTTTGAAATCTATCCACATATGTTGCATTTTTTTTTGATACTGTCTTTTAAAGTACGCGGGTTCTATTCTGTAACACTTTGAAAAAATATTTTCTTTTAGTGACACGCTCATCGCAGGATCGCAGCTCATCGACGCAACTCTCTTGGGATTACAATATAGCGTTGTAGAGTTTCATCAAATCTATTCTGGAAAGAATGCTGATATGAGGGCGTAACTTTAAATGCATCAATACTTCGCGCAACAACGTTTGCAACCTTGAAGGATTTACCTTTCCTTTTTTGCAAGCGTATCTTATCCTCCCACTCAATCGTTAAGGTAGGCACAATATAATTTGCAACACGAATGCAATTTTTGAACTTTCGGGTTGAAACCGTTCCTCTTACGGACGACATGGACCATTTGATTTCGATGTCGGCAAATCTTGTATTTTGGTAAGTCTCAAGATAAAATTTACAATCCTCAATGGCATCTATAAGTATACGGTTGGTTTCGACATACTCCAATTCCAGCACGGGGAATATGCACGAAAACATAGAGCGGAACTTTTTGGTAGCCGCTTGCTTGTGCCGTCTACGAATCGCCCTGTGGTATTCGGCAAAAAAGCCATTCACGGCTCGCAATACTTCTAAGTAATCATGCAAGCTGATCACTCCTCGCATTTGCTTGGGAAAAGACAGCTCGAAATTGGATAACGCGGAATGATCGAGAGTCGAACGGCTATCCATGCGGAGCGTAAAAGTGATTTTTTGAACATTCATTTTAGAAGTTGTTACATATCCTTTCGAGGCCGATACGAATATTGTCACATCGAAAGCTTTTTATTTATATTTATACGTTCACGAGGTATAGAAAAGCTTCAAAGTAATGTACTTGGCTCCAGAACAACGAACTAACACAATTTAGTTGGGAAACATTTTAACACAAGTACATTCATTAGTTTAACCATGTAGCGATTTTTCGAAGGTCTAAAAAATAGGCAAATGAGAAGTTGAAGTTTTCAAAACAGGGTATAAAAGTGTATAAATGTTCCGCATTCTACATTTTTAACGCGGTCGAAGAATAATTTAGAAGTCCTAATTAATAGAAACTGCGCGCTTTTGCCTTTTCTATTGTATTTTTAATTTATAAAAAAAGATAAGAAAATTATAATATGTATTTACATATGTACTGTCAGAGTGTCAGTACAAACTGCAAAGTCCAAACTAGATCGTTTTTTTTAAACAACAACAAATAGTTAAAAATAAATACCCAGACTTAAAAGAGTAAAGAACCGAATAAAGGAATTTACTCTAGAGTAAGTTAGTTACTTTTCATAGAAAGCAAGTGGCTAATATATTTCAATAATTTCATGTTTAATATTTTTTAATTTAAATAGCTTACGTGCATATAAGTCCTTTTGTTTAAAAAAAAGGGGCCGTATTGCCGCAGGCCCTCAGAGGCTCAGGCCTCAGCCCGAGTACGCCACTTTTCTCTACTAGAGACTCTAGCTAGAGAGAGGGGGACTATTTTTTTTTAAAGTAGAAGGCGATACATAGTGGTAGCCTCTGGTAGGCACACAGCTGTACACTCCCTACACTGCATATACCCTGTAGTCACCGCGAACCAAGTCTCACAAGGCACAACTTAAAACTCACAGGACACAGAGTCACAGTCTCACAGACTAGCAGAGTCGCACTCGCCCGTTTGTATCAGGCTCTCTCTCTCTCTTGCAGTCTTGCTGATATCTCTTGCTGTTATGTTGTGTATTTGATTTATGAGTGTGAAGTGTGAATTGTGAAGCGAGAGCAGTTGAACATTGTACAATGGTCAACCCCGTGCAGTCTCCAAGACCCCATCTCAATGTCGACACACACACTCTCTCGTCGAGTGGACTCGACAGAAACGGGAAACCTGCTTTCCAGCTCCTGCCTCCTGCCTCCGGGGCTCTCCCCTAGTGACACAGGCAACTGACAACTCACGGAGCCACAACTCACAACTCACAACTCGCAAGCCATCTCACATTGACATTTCACATTTCACAAGAAGTGAAAGTCACAAGTCTCATCTGTATTATTAATTATATTTATTTAGGGCTATGTGGTATGTCTCAACAGTCAACAATCAACAGTCAACTCTCATCATTGTCAAGTGTCAACAGTCAACAGTCGACACAGTTTCAAACAGTTTTACAACTTTAAAAAAAAACACTTTTATATCAGTAGACAGTATGTAGGCATAGTCCCTACTAAATACGTACTCCATACTCCGTAGACACAAAATAAATATATAATGCGTACGTTTCATTCCCCCAAAATTGCCGGCTAGTTGGAGTAATTTTTATTAAATGACAACTCTCAGGACTCGGGCTCTCATAGTCTCAATTATTTACAGTAGTACATAAATATTTACAATAATTCTAAATATATAGTAGAGATAATCTCTAGTCTCTACTACTAGTAGAGAGAGTGAGACAGAGAGACTCAGAGAGACTCAGAGAGACTGATTGACAAAGAGAGGCAGAGAGTCTGCGAGACTGACTCTAACTCTCCCTACTATTTAGTAGTCCTACTACTAGTAGAGAGAGAGAGACTAAACTAGAGAGAGAGAGAGACTAAACTAGAGAGAGAGTGAGAGATATGTGAGACAAAATACAGAGATGTACCTCCATACATATTTTTATAGAAGTAATAATGAAAATGAAATTTCGTATCTAATAGTGTATTTACTATATTGGTTTATTTGCAAATCAAGAATAAATTAAAATAAATACTGTACTGTCCGTATTTACAAAAATAATTTTACTGTATTTACTTTTGTTTTTCATCTAAAAGGAAACCACATGATTCGGTCTTTTATTTAAATATGCCACTGACTGACTGACGCGTTCGACGAAACTCGTTTTAACTGCATTCCGTGCGCCCGCTTATAGCATCGTGAATTTAAATAAAGTACGTAGCAGGACATTTTGTCTGTATGTGTTATATTTATTGCTACGTGTTGGCTCTATAAACTTTTCAAAATACGAACGAATCTGAAAACAATATTGGCACGCGGATCAAAGCGACACCACACTAGGCAAACAAATATGCTAAGGCGTGATCGCATCCATGCCGCGTATACATCAATGTATTTCCAGACCACTATCACATCGTGCATAAACAAACTATTATATCATGGCGCGATCAATTAATCGATATCTCGCGAGAATGAATGTGAACTATCCCGTGTACTTCCGTCCTATACCAATATCTGATTAGAAATTTAATGCATGCACACCTCGACTTATGCACTGTTGTCAGTAAGCTACAGTGCACTATGCGACGCAAAGACAACAGAAGTAATCATGATTGAATTACCTCTAGCCACACCACTGTACCACATACACAGAGAGAGAGAGATATGTCAACATTCATTGCAAACTGTTCTATGTTCTACCAGCCACCAACGTTGAATGCCACTTTTCCTTGTGCGCGCCTCGATTGCAACATCTTGTATCCAGCCGTTAACCCCTCTTGATCAAAGCTATACACTGGGTCGTGCACAGGTGGTTTTAGACCAGGTCCGCATATCTGAAAAATATTTTCGAGCGTTGTTTTCGCGTCAGTGTTGTCCGTGAGTAAGAGTTTCATGCCTTTTGCTTCCCAACGTATGAACTTTCGAACCCACGAAGTCGGAGGACCATTAAGAGCCACGATCTGACCTTCATCCTTCAGCACTTTAAACGACTCCTCAAAGTAATTCTCACCGCCGCCAGACGACGAGGCACAATCGTACACCACATCAAAATGCTTCGCCCCGTACTTGTCTAATATATTTTCTGATTTGTAGTCACAGATGTCCGTAGCTCCCAGTCCCCGCACAAAATCGGCGTTCTTCCCACTGCACACACCCACCACATCCTTGGCACCCATGTGTTTAGCCAGAATCACGCCGGCCGAGCCACAACCACCTGACGCTCCGATAACAAGCACTGTCTTGTCTTTCAAATCGAAATCGCAGTAGTTCTTGTATGCCTGATAAGAAGTCACAAACGCAAGCGGCATGGCCGCTGCCTGGGCCCAGGTAAGATATGCGGGCTTTTTAGCCAAGTGCGTCGCATCGCAAAGAGAGTATTCTGCAATAGCTGACTTGGTATTGCCAAATACCTGATCTCCAGGTTTGTAAAGAGGGGACTCAGAGGTTTCCACGATACCTATAAAAATCAGTTAAGATACAAAATTGGGAAAAGCTGTTTAAGCGCAAGAACTGGTAAAGCTGTGCTAAAGCGGCGTAGTCTGACAAGAGAGCGATCTTATACCACATCAACAAATACTCCAAGGTAGCAACATAGAAAAATATAATATGCAAGAATCTGTACGAGAAAGACATGACGAAAGTGAAATTATTCGACAATCATCATCTTCTCATTAAAATTGAGTTACTCAGCTCTAACAACTATAATTCTACACCATAAGGGATACACACAGGTATCAGGCATTGCACATGATGTCACAAGAACGAGGGGTAAAGAAAATGCAGATAAATACCCAAACGATTCCAAGTGAGCGGCAGTGAAATATTCATCGAGACAAAAGACAGACACGATAGTCGATTACAAAACCCGAATACACCCAAATCTACAGGTGCCCCTGTCTTTTGGGGTCTAAAATATGACTATAAAGACTGGTATTATTGGGGCTTAAAGTTTCTTCCGGGGTTAAGTGCTAGCCTTCTTAATATGATGTAGAAATCATATTTTACCTCACAAGAACAAGAAAATCGACGGCAACAACTTATGTGTGCTACAGCGTGTCAATCTATATGTAGGCATGCCTATTGATTGATCAATACTAAACTGCAGGAATGCTTATATTGGACTGAAAACGCGCTATGTACAAGCTTACGTACTACAAGCAAACGCAATACGAGCAGAACAACCGCACGTGGAAGATGCCTCACTTAGGAACGTCACATAAGATTAGCCATACTAAATTCACCCTGGGTTGAGTCGAAGAGTGCATATACAACAATAAATAAGGCAACTATACTTGGCACGTAGTCGTCAAAAGGTACAGGACGTGGACAAATTTACGAAACATTTTAAATATTAAAGGCTGCCAAACATCCTACTGCGAGCAGTACAGTACAAGCACATTGCTTCCCGCTAAATTGTATATCGCCGCAACCTAAAACAGGGCAATCACGTCAACAGTGAAGTGTCTAAACACAATATAACTCACTACAGGTCGTATTGCCCATACCAGACTATACTGCACGAGAATATTCGAATTGCATTGCTTTAATCACTGCTGAACGATAATACTTACTCCGGGCCAGAGCAGGAAACATTCCAAACACAGCGAGCGGATTAGAATACACATCCTCAAATGAATGCTCCACGACAGGCTTCGCCAAGTCCCTATATATCAGGGATTGACAATACATCAACATGAACAATACAAAATTCACCCAATCAAACTTACCAGCCACATCAAAGCCCATAGGAATACCTCCCATAATGAAATGGGGCAGTTTGTAGTCTACCGGGTTGCAGCATGCAGCCATCACTTTGACGACCACGTAGCCTTTCGAGGCCGTTGGTTTGGGTAGATCGCCAAAGCGTGTGAGTCCATCGGGTCCGCGTGAATCGCGAATACAAGCCTTCATAGTCGTCATGATCGCTGAGTCAGTGTGCTTGTCTTTGCTATTGTTGAGTGTATGTGTTTGTTTAAATGTATGTGGGATATATAATACATTCTAACAATATTCCGTAATCTGTGAATGCAAGCTTGCAAGCAAGCATGTATTATCCTTAAATACGCGTTTAATACATATACATTCATACATACATACATAAATTTAGTATTAAAAAGTATATCAAATCTCATTACGTTCTTGTAGTTTAGTGTATACGTTTAACGTCAAGCTGTAAATTTGATATTATTTGTATATAAAAAAAGGTGGGAAGAGCGCAATGGGTTCTTAAACAAGTTCTAACCTTTTTATTGTTTAAATGTATTATATGAGGAAATGGTTGTTAAATATTGCACCTCAGAACCCAACAATTACACCCATGTCTTAAATAGACGATCCCACCAAAGTAAATAAACGTTCAACGTGCACTTGAAAGTATATATTGATTGTTCCGTGTTCTAAAACGTCAATCGGAAAATATTTATAAGTCTCTTTTATTATAATACACGTACAATTTAAGTGAACTATGTAAATATGTACCTTTTTTATAGAAATAATAATAAAAATTATATGTGCGTGTATTTATACAGGAAAGTTCTGGAAATCACAGCAAAAACATAGGTTTATTGCATGACTACCCTTAGGTTTATAGTCTGGCTCTGTCGTCATCGGTTTTTCCGTGAGATTTCTATCTGTCCTATCATCATGTGGTAAAATATTATATCATCATGTGGTAAAATATTAAAAATCTGTCAACACCAACACCGATGAGGTTGTTGTTTTTTTGACACAGTTTGCATTGAACACATACGTACGGATTATACTGTATCGACTATGTCATGTACGCATTAACTTGAAATTGACTATTTAAAACATGAAATATGAATTAACTGTATAGTAACTTAGAAAGAAAGTCGTCCCTTCTAACCTATAGTTTAGTTAAATATATCATTGGATGTGACGGATTGCACAAGCGTGTGATAGTTTGCACTTCGTGTGGATGCCCCATCTGATCCTGACTTGCATAAACGGTCAATTTACTGAACGTTTATCGAAGTCAAGCTATAAGTGCGCATTGTACTAGAAATCCAGTATGTTGCGACTCAGTCTCTCCCAAGGAAGGGCACACACACATATATGTCCAGATCGCATTGCATTTTCTCAAGTAGATAGGCACGTGCACACATTGCTTCGAAGCAGTATATATAGTGCAGCATATGTTTCTCAACGCCTATATAGCACACGCAGACGCAGACGTGCTGTTGAAACATGGTTGAAGGATGTACCTGAACATAGAAAGGAAGCTCTGGAATTTGAACGACTGCTGGGCTTAAGAAAAGGGATAAAGCACAAAGATGCACCTCTGTTGAATGTGGAGGAATCGAAAAACCTGATGGAGATAAGGGCCAAGGTGTGTGGTGTGGTCGGCAATGAGAAGTAGGGTGGTGTATGCGAATAAGTTGCTATACTTTATGGTAAAGTGTATGTGTGAAAGTGTGTGTAAAGTGTGTGTGTGTATTTTTAGCCTGGAATCAAAACATATACCACGGGTGTGTCGTATAAATGAACGGATATTCAACGTCTGTAAATTTGCACAATTAATGATAGAGTTTTCGTTTTTCTTCCAGTGGTTGCATGAATGTAGAATGTAGTTGCCTGAACGCGTATACCATCGAACGTTTCATATACAATTGCTTTAAATTCATGTGCATAGACAGGTAAGTTTCCTTTGAGTAGAGTATCCTTCCGTGTGTTACATGCTGGTTGATCTCTTAGTCAAGCTGGCTGACTTAGCAACTAGCAGGCTGGGTTCAGTATAGTGCATCCACCTGCACTATACTTAAGTCTTGCCTTAATAACGCCCCGGGCTTGAGGCATTCCAACTACCATTATAGTTTGCCTGCACCATTCACATAGGCTGCCTTGTGTGCTTGGACCGTTACATGCGATTATATACTCTTGTGTGTAAAACCCAATACGCCACCTTGGATCAGCCTTACACTTCAACGAACAAGGACACGGAATAGATTGCACACTATATCGTGCTCGAGTGATATGACTGCACCCAGGCGCGCTTATAGTGTGTGATCTCTTTATTATAAGGAAATGGATCAAATGAGCGTGCTCTTCGTGAAGCTTTGTTTCATCGTCATAGAGAATTTTTAAATCGTCAACTCTGTTTTTGAGGACCAAAATTCGTACATAGAATGGCATTAACACCTAAGAGGTGGTTTTTGAGTAGTTATGTTTATACTCATCACAGTATCATACACTGTCTTATATATAGTGGTATCAACACCTGTGGGGTGACCTTTGCATCCATGCGTCCACACATCTGCAGTAGTTTTATCCATTCTATTGACACCCGTCATAGTCTGAGTTGATATGCATAGTCGGGCGAGTGTTTTGTCGGTCTGCGATGCGCACTTCCGCTCACTCTTTCAGTGGTACTACATGTTACCATCACCAGTTCAGTGTTTGTTGTCTACCCATATTGCACCTTTTGATCACGCTTAAAGCTACGGTTGGGCGGTCTCGACCGGTTTCGATAACCATACCAGTCTGCGATTGACTGTAGGTAGGATTTGTCCTCATAAGAAATCTCGATGTGTTATACACCACTAGTCCGCCAATTTTATGCTGTCTGTGATTGAAAGGCAGTACAGTCGTAGCAGGGTCTGCATTCGTAGACATCTCTCACTTTATCAGCGTGTCTTACCTACCCATCGTTGCCTAATACACACTCAGGGCAATGAGCGGAACATGCGAAAGTTAGAGAAGTTCAAAAAGTTGGCACCTCGACAGCAGACGAAAGCGCTGTGGTACTCAGCCAACAAGGCACCGCTGATACGCCAGAAGGTGGTAGCGAAGCAATTGCAGGATAAAATGGATGGTATGTGGTCTGTGTGTGTGTTGGTTGTGTCAGAGAAGGTGGTAGCCAAGCAATTGAAGGAAGATGGATGGTAAATGGTACGTTTGTGTGTTGGTTGTGTCAGCAGGTGGTAGCCAAGCAACTGCGTGAGAAAATGGATGGTAAATGGTCTGTGTGTGTGTTGGTTGTGTCAGAAGGTGGTAGCCAAACAACTGTATGAGAAGATGGATGGTAAATTGTCTGTGTGTGTGTTGATTATGTGTGCTGCTGTGAGGGGCTGACATGCAGCTACAGGAAAAAATGGATGGTAAATATTCCGTGTGTGTGATGATTGTGTGTACTGCTGTTTGGGGCTGACATCATGTGAATGGTGTAGCTACAACCACTTGCCTTGGCGGGTGTCTAATGTCGGCAGTGGGGTAGGTGAACGCCTGTAGACGGGCGCACGCTTGTACACGAGGCAGATACGTCTCGTTTCAGTAGGCGATAATGTTTTTATGTTATGGGTATGACGTGACCACTGAACTACCAGGCGGAAAGGGTACGTTTAGTGTCGTTAGATAGTCTCGAAGGCTGCAATATCATTCACTGATACGATGAGAATGATCATTAATCCACGTAAGCCGAAGCTTACCATAGCCGCAAGTATGAGTCTATGACACGAGGGTGTGTCCAATCATAGTTTCTTACGTATGAATTTCTAACCAACCTTGTCACAGTGTATGTAGTATATGTCGATGTGTATAACGGCGTCGCAGCCTTTGGTGTGGGGACTTTCGGTGGGTCCGATGTGTGCGTGTACTGTGTTGTCGCTGCCAATCATCTCTTCTAGCATTTTAGTGCGCACTGTACGATGGCCAATCTTAATAACCTGGTTGTATGCTAGTATCTTGCTGGCTATTATCTTACTGTGTTTGTATGCTATTATCTTCCTGTGTTTGTATGCTACTATCTTACTGTGTTTGTATGCTACTGTCTTCTTGTGTTTGTATACTACTGTCTTACTCTGTTTGTATACTATTATCTTAC